CAGTATTCTCTGGTGCTTGCACTGTGCAGAAGGTCATGACTTTACTATGCATACTCTGATCCTCCTGGAGACTCACTACCTCCTCAGCTGCTCAGCAAGCACTTCAGGCTATTTCTATTTTTATGAACTTCCTAGACACTTTCCTCATCTTGCATTTAAAAATGTGTCTTTACTGTATCCCAAGCCCCTCCACCCACTAAGTCATTTGCAATTCCTCTACCACTATTGAAATAGATGCTGTATAGAATCAGAAGCCAGAATTTGAATTGCAGCTTCATTACAGAGATCCAGAAGACAATGAGAGTAGTAAACAGACTTGTATTTAATCAGGAGTTTATACAGTAATATTGCAATTTTTAAAGGATCTTTCTCTTATATTTGACATATTATTTTCCCTCAACAGCTACATTACTTAACTTGACATATTACAGACCGAAGTAAGCAATCTTCCCTTCTGCAGTTCCTCAGACTCATGAAAGACTAGTTGCACAATTAACTGCTCAACATATCTATGTCTGCAAACTAGTTCTACTTCACATCTGCCTGCAGTTCAATATCCAAGCAAAGAGGGAATGCTTTCCCCTGCTTGGGCACCACATTCTCCTCCTGCAGCCAGAACTCAGTGCACCAGTGATCCACCAGCTGTGGTGCCAGAGCAGCACACTCTGCCCCAGTGCCTACAGAGGTGCCACAGCACAGAATTGGGCTCAGAAACAGTTCAGGCAAGGGATAAGAATGTTTGCAAACACTTTTTTCCAAGAGTTTCCATACCAATATGAGCTTTATACATAGCAAAAGCCAAACACACACAACCAATCTAGAAACCTTCACAAACATTGCAGACCTTGCTCCTTTGCTCTGTATTTTGGCCATGTCCTCCTCTGGTATACTTTGATCACAAGACATGCCTAACAAACAGTTTTTGGAGAAAACACTACGTGTTCATCTTGAATTCTCAAGTGTTGTGTTCCTACTTGGGTTGCCTAGAAAAATGATTAATAACACACACACCTCTGTGGCTGTCACGTTACAAGACCAACTCCCCACTCCAACCTGCAGCAGGTGTAAGATGGTAGCCCAGTGTCTGCAGCCCTTTGAGAACAAGTAGCACCCCACTGAAACCACTGCATCCTTCCTATTCACATTAGGTTAAACCCCAAGCATTTATAATTTTGTTAGAGCTGACAGCCTGGATTTGAATCCAGGATCTAAAGGCAAATTAAATTTCACCATTCACATTAAGAAAGCAATCCAGCTTCTGAACTGGATCAGCTCTGACACCATGGTAAAGAATTTAGTTGAAATGTAGTTTGATGAAAGACTCCTGTTCAGCAGCAGATATAATTATCACACCAATCTTAATTAGATCACGAACTTGACTTTAGGATCCCCAAAGGAGTATTGAAAGCTTGGTCCAGTTACACTGAACTTGGTCCAGAACACTGAAGTTTATCCATCAAGATAAATATATTACTAGCTTTTTTGATACAACAGATGCTTGATGAGTAACAGTGCAAATGTCTTTTTAACTATGATTTTTTAAAAGGATTATTAAACTGCACTAAAGTGTGTGCTGTTATCTTTGAGGGGAAAAAAGTATAATACATGAAAAACAATTATTACAGAGCACATCAAGCACAATTTTTCAAGCACTAGTTTCAGAATTAAAAACATTTGAACAAAGGTTCTCTCTGTGGAGAGTCACTTTGTAACCAATTCAAGGCTTTAAATAGCTATTGTTTAAGAAAATTGTCAGCTACAGAAATTGTTTTCCCTTCGGATTCCAAATCCTGTCAGACCAGGGTGATTAAAATGTTACATTAAAAAAAAGGGGGGGGGAGGAAAAGGCAATCTAATCACCCCTTATAAAAAGTAAAACCAGCAACTCAATTTTTAAAGCATTGCAAACAAAAGGCTATAGCCCATCTATCATTCACATATGGATTCATGTAATGATTCTTCAATTAGAATTATTATCTGTACAGCAGCTGAAGACTGAGAACTGCTGATACACTGCAGATGAGAACATTTGCTAGTCTCTGGGCTCCAGCCTTTCTTAAAAAATGATGATGGCACAATATAGATTGCTTGGTTTATATGTGTATTAAGCTGCAATGCCAGCATTTACATTTGCAACATTACAATTTTGCTTTCTTAGGCTCAAGAGATTTTGCTGCATCTGGTGGATTTTATTTGCTTTGTATCTTAGGCAATTGTTACGAGCAAAGCGTGAACAAGCAATATTATTGCTCAAAGTCCTTTGTTTTGTTGATTATCTCAGATACTATTCCAAAAAAGTAAACTAAGAGTGGGCCTGTGAGATGGGTCATTCAGTGTCAGTCTGCTCACACTATAGTGACCAGTGCTATTTTTATAAGGCACATCCATCTGCTCCTTCACTTCTTCCACCTGTATAGATCTAGACAGCTTAAGATGCAACATCAGAGGGAAAGAAAAGCATCTCACACAACAGTTACAGGCACTGTAGGGGAGAAGAGTCACTTGGGCGATTCAGACTGCAGCAATCCAAGTGCTCCTTGCCTACCCTTGCACCCTGCCCTGTTGCCAAAGGTTACTGCCTTCAGTAAGCAAGTATCAGCACATTATGTGCTGCAGCAACAGCGTGGGCATTGTGCTAGCTCTACAGCCACTGCTCCTCAGCCTGGCAGTGCACAAACACAGCCCAGTTTGTTTGGTAACACTGCAGGAACTGTGGCAGCTGCCGAGCAGACGGATCGCTTGGCTACAGGGCAGTAGCTCAGAGGAGTAGACTAGGTAGCAAGAATGACAACCTCCTAAAAAATCCTCAGCTCTTCTGGACTATTCAAGTACTTGCCTGTTCCTGTATCATGGCTGGTAACCACATGCTGTGACCTAGATGATGACAGATAGGTAGCTACACAAATAGCAGCTCGAGATAGCCCTACTAAATGGGCATCTGTTCTTGGTGTTTCTACTAAGGATTCCTGCTCTGTGAACTCCAAGTGTGCTCTGAAGCCCAGGCAGCCTTCCCACGTGTCTCCCTAGTAATGTAGAAGCTGGAGACAGCAAGTTGGCTCTTACAGATTTTTGAGCCATGTGAAAGCCTTCAGTGACATGTGCCTGTGTAGAGATCAGAATAAGGGCCATACAGTTAATTAAGTATCTTCTTATTTCACTGTTCCATCTTGGAAAGACCTTTATAGAAGATAAACATTGTGAATATATTTGTTTTGCTCTGTATAGTTTGACAAACATATGCTCATGCCATTGTCATCTTTCCCAGCACTGCTTTCAGTGGGTGAGACCTGCCATCACCATGACATCTCCCTGTAGCTGTTATACAAAGGAAATGAAAACTCTGCTCATGGGTGTGTGTTCCACTGTTCTTTCACTACTTTATTATAGAGATTAATGAATAGAGAATAAGTAATTTATACTCCTCCTTGAAAAAAAAATGTTTATCCTCTACTGAAATCTCCTGTTTCAAATACGCTGTAAATAACCAAGTCTTGGAAGTAATTGCCATTTGAATGGCTTAAAATTTCATTACATTTATGTGACATTATAGAATGCTGCTGTCTCTCAGTGGCCAAGTTATCTGACGTGTCTCCTAGGATGTGTTTGTACAGCAAATAACAACTGTGACTGCAGTCTGGGGAGCAGTACCTGCACAGGCTTTAATCAATCTAATATGTAACTCTAGCAATAACAGTGTAGAAGCAGAAGTTCAAGTTAAGCTTAAGATACAATGGACCTCATTTAGTGAGAGCACCTTCATGCTGATTAGCATATTATTAACTCCCACATGTTAGCATCACCTGTTGTATCAACTCATTTGAATGCACTGGACAGACAATCCTTTCAAAAGCACCACTCCTCGGATTCCAGGATTTACAGAGGGCTCTGAAGGATATATGCTTCAGATCCCACCAAACAAAGTAACTAAAACATTTCCTGACATTTAGAACTCATTAACCGTAGTATCCTGAGCTTTCCTACATTACAGACAGACAAAGAAAATGTCTTTGAACAGTATGCTCACTTTGAACAGTAAATGACATAAAAGCTCTGTAAGATGTAGTAACAGCATTTAAGAATAACTACGAGTTTTGCAACCTACAGCACTGTCACTCCAGTGATATGGAACCTTTGTTTCAGAAACAGACTCTTGAATCTATTGTTTGCTTAATGAATTCAAATCAGCAACTGCACACAGCCACAGAAGCAACAGTGCCAATGGCGAGAGACACTGAAAGAAATGAAAGTCTATAAATTTTAACAACAGTGAATTAAAAATGCCAAAATACCCTCAAGTCTCACTAACTCCTGAAACTGCTGCATTAATCCCACAAGGCATTCCTCCTTTTCAGTGGGTCTCTGATCTGATTGTCCTGTTAAAGAAGAGATGAAATGGGAAGAACAAAACAAAATATCAAAGCCAAAATACCCCAATGACTGAGATCTCCACCCCACGACCCCTGACTTTCAGTTTGAAAGCTCCTTTGGGCTGCTGAACTATGCGAATGTTTCCAAGAGCTGAGTACTAACAGGATATGAGGTACTCTAAGCTCTTCTTTGCCACCGAAGGCTTTTGTGTTCTAGGCAGTTCATGAGAGGTGAGAACATCTAAAACCCATTACTATTCCAACTATCATCTCCCCAAGCAGTTTGAATATTGTATTTAGTAAGGGCTATCCCAAAATTTGCATAAATCTTTGAAAAGAAATTAAAAGTGACACATATGCTGATGAGAAGATATTTTGAGAGCAGTGAAAACATTTGTTGCTGGATGGTTTATGCCTAGGAAGGAATTCAATCACTGCCACAGACAATCTTGTCAAACAAAAGACATGTGAATACACATTGTGTGATTTGCTGAACACTGGTCCAAATAGCCACCCACAGACTGAGGGGCAAACGAGGTCTTTAAGAATGTAAAGCTTTACTTTGGCAGATACTAAGTGCATTTTATATGATGCAAAAAACTTGTGTCTCGGTCCTCTGTCTTAGAGAGAATATCACCTATTTTCTTAAAGCTGAATTTCACCCAACTTTTTATTGTTGTTTTCAGATCAAGAATAAATTTTCTGCACTGAAAATGCACACTTATAACCAAATACAAACCTGACATACTTCAGAAAAAAGTTCATCTTCCTGTTACTAAATCTCTATCTTCTGGTCTTCAAGTTGTTCTGTGGCTGTGTTAGAATCACTTATTTTGTTTATAATTTTCTCTTGCTTTGCTTCTTTTCTAAAAGTCTTCAAACACTTGTCAAGTCTTTTCAGGAATACATCTACATCTTGCTTTTTAATTCCAATTGCTGAGGCAGCATTAAGGTAAGCACAGGGATAGTCATTTGCATGTGACATGAAGCCTTTAAAAGTGTAGTTATTCACAGTTTGTACAGACCCACAGGGAACAACCCTGAAACAAACAAACAAAACTGTGATTCAGTTAAAGATATCCTGGACATTTTATGTGATACACTGTATTGAACACATTTACTCAAATTCCTACTGAAATAGGAAGTTGCTATTCCCACCATTGACATTCAGCACCAGCATAACATTTAAAATCTGTTGAAATACTGGGTCAAACAGTGTATACTACAAAAGAATTACTTGCTCATATAAAAAAAAAAAAGGAAAAACCTGAAGCTTTTACATCAGGCAAAGAACTCAAGAGTTTTAACTTCAAAAACTGAACTTCTTGGAATACTTTCAGCCAAAAATGGCTAAAATTACAGACAAGCCAAGGTTAGGACAGGCAAATTAAAAAGAGCATCTAACTCCAGTACATATAGATTTACTGTCATTCATCTGTGCAGGAAGGGGAATAATCCAAGCTAATGAAGCATACCTTCTGACGTGGAACCATCCAGCTCTGCTACAAAAAAATGACACTAAGTCTATGGCAGAAGTTAGCATGGCAGCAGTAATATTCAGATTAAGGAATGCTGCCAAAACAAATTTTGAATCATTCTCTTCTTCTGAAAGGTTTAAACCAAAATAATCAGAAATTATTTGGCTTGCATTTCCATGTAACAGTGTCTCTAAGAATAAATTCAGCTCAGACTGGCTCAGGATGTATATTTTAAAATTTTTTTAACTTATTTTTTTTTCAATGCAATTAGTTCCAGAAAGCAGAATTTTCTTTCATGTGACAAAAAGCTATGTAGGGTATTAAAAGCTTATTCCCCTGACATCCAACATAACCATTTGTGCTGCAATAAACAAACCAAAGATCTTCCCTAAGTAGCTTACACCTTAACTGTATGCTCAGACAACAGCTGGAAACTAAATGAAACCAAGGGGTACTAGGGAATAATGACACTAAATTAAATGGGCATAGATTATCTATTTAGCCTACCAAAATTAACAAAGGAGCCTCACTGCTAATTCAGGTAGGGAGACATTATTAGTCTCTAACAGTGATGAAGAAGGGTGATTACTCTATGACTTGGTATTGTCAGACTGCATTCTGTAACCATGAGACAATTGGTATCAAGCAAATGTCACAGGATTTCATAAAACATATTATAATAAAATCCCCATAAATTTTTCAAATTCATAGCATCCTCACCTTGCTCCAGAAACTTGTCTTGTGAAAAGCATAGATCCAAGCTGGGTAACAGCAGCATCATTATTTTCATCTAGATTCTTCAGTGACATAGCTAAAGTAACATAAGGTCAGGTTAAAACTGCTACAGAGCTACCTTTTTTCCAAAGAACCACCACAAAGGACAAGTTGTTTCCCAATAACAAGAATCTAGCCAAATATTTGTGTTCAGATACAAAGAAAAAAAGAAATATAAATACTACATTTCATAGCTTTTAATTTTCCCACAAGATGTCATAGATTACTACTTGGGTTAGACTGTATACAAGGCAGATTCTGCACAGGTGGGCAGTGTTGCTTTGGTGTTCAGCAGAATTTTTGGTTAAAACAAAGTCCTTGACTAGGAACTCCATAATCTTTTATAACACTAAGATTATGGGTAAAATAACTACACCTTACTTTCTTTTTAGATCTATTTTTTATAAAGTATTACTACATGCTCACATCTTTTCCCTGCCTTGATTACAATAAATGAGTATGTTGGACAGGAGCAAAATAAAGGGCCCAAGTTACTACTCTGCTTTTATAGCAGGTTATTTTATTGAGTTCAATGGTTTCAGATCAGCCTAAGTACAATTTAATAGCAGTGAACAATGTTTAATATATAGGAATGGTATGTAAAAGTGTATTATGAACACACAGTATATTAGAATTTTTTAAAAGATAAAAGCCCAAGAATTACCTAAGGAAATGGGATTATGTGGTGTGTCTAACAGTCTCTCATTGTGGTTATCTGCCAGCTTCTTCAGCTCACTTGAAAGATAGGAAAACATCTCCTGGGGAAAAAAAAAAGAAGCAATATTTTTGTTATTAGCTATCAAACAGAGAAAATAGCACCTATTTCACAAAACTGTTAAGTCTCCATTACATTCTACAGGTGCCCAGCTGATTCTCTTTTCATGTGTACCAAGTAAGTGGACCAGACAATTCTCTGAAATAATTCTATAAAGGAACAGCTCCATTTCCTGAACACTGTTCTTATCTCTCAAGCTGATACAAAAGTCTCTAGCTGGTCTAATATATGTGCTTGGGATGTCAGTCATTCTTTCTGTGGCCACGAAACCCAGGTAGGTAAAACCCTGAAGAGATTCCCACTGCACAGAAGGTCTTACCCCACCCCACTGCTGCAAGAGCCTTCCCCTGGAGCCACAGAGAATGAACTGGTACCATCACAGATGGTCACGCCAGGGCAAATTGCTCCTTACTTTGTTTTCTCTCTATCAATACATTCCAGACTAAAAGCAGTACATTTTGTTGCCATGTATCACACAATCACAACTCCCACTAGTGCAGAGACTTCCTATTCTGCATGAGAGCAGCACCATCTCTTAAGGAGGCTATGAGAACACATCTGATTGTATTTTATTTCACACAATAAATACTCTCCTGAATTCTCAGCTCTATTGTGCAGCTAGTTCACTTCCCTGGACCCTCCTGTTCACACCCACTAAAAGAATGGAGATACCTGAATTTCTGCTATCACTTAATTGGATTGCACCTTTACTGTGAAAGTGTCAGAAGACTGAGATTCGTAAGTGCTTTGGCTCAGATACAAGTCACACTGCACATAAAAGGCTGCTTCTCTTGCTTCATCTGTATTTTATTTCCTCCCTCTTCCCCAGTACTAATCTATGATAATTGCTCACGCTCTTCATCAGTTTAATACCTTCCTCTTCAGATAGCAGCTCAAAACACTTATGGACAGAGTGAGAATAAACACCATTCTTCTTACTGTATGCTTTGGCTTTTTTTCCATCCTTTTTAATGCTTAGTCTCTCATAAAAACTAGAAAAAACATACAGATACTGGGTAGCCTGTTTAAAAGATATTAAACACCAGGTTTTTTTCTCTTTCTGGCTATAAAAATTGTGCTGCTTATCTGCTTCAGTATGACTGCCTGTTTAAGCATCCTCATCAATTTCTGGACCTGACAAGTGATTTTTCATTCCTTAAATAGAGTTGCCTCTTCTGTTTGTAGACCAGTATCCTGCTCTGACCTGTGGACTCTGACAGATACAAATTACAGCTCGTGATCAAAATTATGTTTTTGAACAGAACCTCCCCAAGGTCTTATGAAACCAAACGAGCTTTGTGGTAGCTAAGTTAGAAGAATGTTACAGATGGTTTTACTTCAACAACTGCAGGAAACTCAGTAGCATTTCATGAGTGATCAGATGAACACAGTTCCTGACCTGTTCTTCCTAATACCATAGAATGAGCTCAGTGGGAGAGGAAAAAGTACCATCTTACTGTTAAAATGAATTAAGTTATTGATTCAACTATCAACAAGGACATAAAGCTTCTGTAATACTAGAAACAACAAAAATTTTGGAAGGTATCTATGGCTAACTATCAGAACTGGAAATTTGTGAGAAATCATTTTTATTTCTTGTAAATCAAATGATTTTACTATTTCAGTTCAGAGTTTATTTACAGTTCACTCACAGAAACTGAAAATCATTTTTGTTTCAAATGGGGGGGTTTTGCCTTCCTTCTGGTCCCTTATTGAGGATAAGCATATTACTCATTTGTTACTTACTTTCTACAATAAGCAACACCAATGTGCTAGCCATTTTATTAGGATTTTTTTTAATACAAATCATATATATTAATTTGTGCTCCCTCTGCTGGCTATTTACTTCTACAGCTGCAGCAAAGTATCACAGAAACATAGATAAATTGTCTCTGCAATGGAGATACTGTTGGTGAAATTAGTACTGAGAAAAAAATATACTGGAAGAAGAACAAATTCTCAAGTAATTCATTTTTGTGTGTTGTACCTAGGGAATTCTCTGATAAATCTCTTGCAGTATTACTGAAAGGACTACAAGTTGGTATAACAAGCTATCCACTGTATAAATGTATTAAAATAGGTTAGTAGATGAGCTTTACATACACAGGAATTTGTTAAAATGAGAGAGAATTGAAAAATGGCAAAAAAAAAAATTCAAGTATGTATTTTCATCTGTTTGACCGAAGCTATGTAAACACATATTCAAAACTTATTTTCATGAACAACACTATTTTGCATCTTTCCATTCGAAGCCCTCTAGATATTTTATAGTTTCAGAAGTTTGTTGCAAAATAGATTAACTGCCTTTCCAAAAAAAAGGGCAAAAGCAATATTTTTATGAGGTCGAATCTATAACCAACCTCTATTAAAAAATATTTCTCTTACGTGGAAAATTTATAAGCACCCTAAGCAATTACATATAAATGAGCTCCTACATAATAGATTTTCTGTAGCAGGCACTCAAGTTTTTTCCAAGAAAGCTAACTATTATGCTAAAGTTGTGCTGAACAACCCAAGCACTAAATGTCAGTTAAGTTTCATTATTTAATTCACTTTCTTCCCTTAGAAACCTATCACAAAACCTCATCAAGCTAGAGAAATGAAAGCTAAACTCTGGGAAAATGTCCTGCACTCCTGGTCCTTCCAGCACCTAAACCAACACCACTTGCTGTGAGTACAGAGGCCTCTTTGAAGCTTCCATTCATACTGGTTTAACTGCACAACACCACGTAAGGTAATGGTATATTCACTGAAATTATTTTGCCTCCAGCCACTCTAAAATTTGAATACGGTTCCACATATTTCACGTGAGGAAAATGCTGCAATATTCCCATATTTGGCCAACTAGAGTGTAGCAAACTAGACCAAAAAAAGAAAAAAAACCCTGGAGTAATAAATATCTGTCTTGAAGAATATTTGATTTTCCTTTTACATTTTTAATATCCATCATTAAATGGTTTTTTTCTTCTTCTTCCATGATAAGTAGAGTAGGAACATAAACTCACACTGAATTGTACAAATAATTTATTCCTATCAGAACAATTACATCAATGACAACTCAGGAAACATAAACTCAGTATTTTACTGGATTGTAAAACCCAAATGATTTCCTCCCACTCGGTGTGATTTAAATATTTTAGATACAGACTCCATAAGGAGATAAAAATAACTCCAGTTGCACTCTTAGAGAATATATAGACAGATGGATAGAGATATAAAAAGCTCCAACACATTCCAAGTAACACAAAAATACATTTAAGGAAATCAGAATTATCTTGATAGTTAAAGAAAGTCTAATGAGAAAATCCATAACTGCTGAAAACAAAATGAAATCATCACCTCTTCAATAACAGCAGTATAATAATTAGTTAAATGGATTAAATAGACCATGTTGGATAACAGTTACCAGGTATTAAATGTGGTATGTAGGGTCCAGAATGTAAACCCTGAATGCAGGGTCCTTGCTCTCCATAAATTCTGAGGTGACAACTGAGTCTGATGTTTGTGCCACTGCACAGTGTAACCACTATATTTGCTACATGTGGCCTGGTTTAGGCACACAATGAAAACAGTGACTTTTATCACCTGGAAATTCAAAATACGGGACATAACATAACCTGTACTGAGGAACCAAAGAAATTGCTACAAAAACAATCTCTACATAATGTTATGAGTTTTTTAGAAGCAAAGATATTAACAAATTTGACTATGGACCAGCTGTCATTATCTGCATTGCAAAAGGACACAGTCTGAGATCAGAAAACCACTGTTCTAAACACCACACAAACATATAAAAGGGAATCCTGAAAATCCAGAAGAAGGGAGAAAACATTATTGTTGGTGGTCTTCCATCCTTTCCCCGGAAACATCAGACAGATACAACTGTTGGAAACATTACCTATTAAACTTTCATATATGGCCACCTTAGTCAGCTGCTTTGACATGAGAAAACATTACTGTTGGTGGTCTTCCATCCTTTCTCTGGAAACATCAGACAGATACAACTGTTGAAAACATTACCTATTAAACTTTCATACATGGCCACCTTAGTCAGCTGCTTTGACATCATGTGTGTGTGTCCCCCTTGCACTCCTGTACTCAGATCCATTGTGCCATTTTACTCCTTCATATCACAACATATTATCTCACACTCTTGGACAATTGCACACTCCACAACTGCCAGATTGTTGGAAAATCCTGCTCCATGTACATGCTCCTCTCCCTCATATCATCTGTCCCCTTCCTATATTAAACAGTTCACCTGTGTAAAAGAAAAACTGGGCAGACTAGTTCTTTCCTTGGTTGTGCAAGATTAATCTCTTCTCAGTAATATTCTGGTCTTTCTGGCCTGAGGTCAAATAACCTGGACTACCACCCATTCAAATATGGATAAGGTAAAAAAAAGAAAAGAAAAAAAAAAAGAGAAAAAGCTCAAGTTTTTTATAGCTGATTTTTCGTGAGGAAAAAAAAGAGAAAAGAAAAAAACCTCAAGTTTTTTATAGCTGATTTTTCGTGTGAGTAGGTGCAGCTGCACCAATATAGAAAGGAGTACTCAATGTCAAGCTATAAATAGCTCCTGCTGGAAGCCTAATAGCTCTGCCTCTGCTTCCTCAGAGCACAGGCAATAAACTATCACTATTACATTTCTACACTTCAGGAACAAACAGATTTAAGCAAAAATGTTTCTATTTCTACAGCAAATCCAATGAAAGAAACATATTTATGCCACGTATATGGCTCTGTTTATAGACTATACTCACATTTGAAATAAACAGACCTGAAGCGGTAAAACTATAATACTTTATTCACTTTAGAATTCTACTTACAATGAAATGACACAATTCAAAATATGCAGCTATTCATTAAGGCATATTATTTATGAAAGAATTATTATTTAGGACTTGGACAATAGTTATACTGCCCATTATACATCTGCTACTGGTGTAAATCAAACGTCAAAATCAGCTTTGTTGAAGACATGATAAATTCACTTGAGGTTTTTCTGGACATGAGAGTAAAGGGGGGAAAAATACAATTTGCTTTTAATGAAGACACAGCACACATGGCAATACACACAACAGTCCGGAATAAAATGTTAGAAACTGTATTGCAACAGTGGCAAAAGTGTTTCACGTGCCTTGTTTCCACTTCAGTTGCACAGATCACTTCTTAGCCATTGTAAGATCACTAGGCTGGTTTGGTTTTCTATAGCCTAGCTATTCCTAAGGGATCTCAATTTCAGGACAGAATTTCTGGATGCCTCTACAAGCAGCTAGAAATAAGTCAAGCATCCAGCACTATTGCTCTGCCACATAATCAGGGACAGCAGCAAGCTG